TAGGTAGGTTATATCTATTAATTAAGTATTATTGTAAATAATCTTATAAAATACTTAAGTAAACCTATTTTGTATCAAAAAAGTAGATGATACATAGATTTTTAATTAATATTAATAAATCACATTAAATAACAAAACAAACATTTAAATAATAGGTAATTTTAAATTTGTAATATGGAGAATATAGAGCTCTGTGTATGTGTAGGACAAGGGTGGCCGACACTATATAGTCGTGAGAGAAGAAAAAGAAAAAGAAGATAAGTTTATAATGATATGATAAGTTATAACTTATAAATATGTAATTCTTAATAACCATTTACAATTTCTATCGATAGGATGGTATTCAATCATAAAACTTTATTATTTAAATTAAATTTACAAGAATCATATAGAGATGTTTAATACCGAAGAAATCATATACACATAGAATGTACCTAATATATTTAAATACATAAAAATATGTATAAATGTATTATTATACTTGTTGTTTGTGGCGTGTAGGTATAATACCTATACTTTCGCTTTGGAATGTAAAATGTGTCTTGGAATAGATCTATACCTATTATGGGAGGGTAAATGGTAGTACTTCAGGGTGTAGGTACCAATATACTATTAGGTATAAAATGTATATTATATAATATTAATATAAATATATATGGTTGAACAAACAGTTTATAATATATAACCATATAAATGTGCGTCATATGCCTACGTGATTGTCGTAGACATGACCGTGTGTTTTGTTGGGTCGGAAAAGTAAGTGTTCGGAGTAAAAAAAAAAAAAAGAAACATGAGGAGTGTTACTGTGTTAATAGGTAGCAAGATGGACCGTAACCGCTAAAACCATGGTCAGGAATACGGTGCAACCTCCGATGACCACTGCGCCGTTGCAAAGGTCCTGGTCGCACGTGCTGCAGTGTTCGATGCGTATGTTCGCCGGGGTGTTAATGGCGCAGGGCCCGTCGTCATTCCGGCTGTCCGAAGCCCAAGCGCATGACCGGATAATCAGCAACTCGCCGTTTACTGTAATTCACATTACAAACAATAGGTAACATTATATTCTATACATGCAAATTATTGATTGGGTATTTCTATAATAATACGATTACATGAAGCAGCCCACATTTATTTATGAAGAATAAAAAAAACTATGTACCACGCATCTTTTCCATCATACACGATGTTAAGCTTGTCGAAACGAAGCTATAAGTACAAGTTAAAATATGATATAAGCGATTTTTAGACAATTTTAACGTGTTATCTATGACCTATTGGTGAATTATAAGTTAACATGACCTATATATTATAAATTATAACGTTTGAATGACAGTCTAACACATTAAGGGCCAGTTGTACCGTCTCTGATTAAAGTTAACCGGAGTTTAATCGGCTGAATTTACACGGTTAAATATCTGTTATCAGCTGATTAAGCGTAATCGAAATTTAACCGTAGACGGTACAACTGGCCCTAATATACACTTTAAGTCATCCTATCGTTTTATAGTTTCTCGATATTCTACTCCTTATAGGCAGCTCTGACGAGGGGGCTGAAAATTACCTCAGGCCCGCCATTTTTAAGAGGGCTCAGCAATTTGGGACTATTCAATTTTTTTTAACTAAAAAACAATTAAATATTAAAGTAATAAAAGTAAATAAAAATATAAGTTTTTGTATTTGAACAGTACCTACATTATCTATATCGATTTGTAATGACCATAATGTGATATCAATGAAAATGATTGTTATTGTTATTGTTGTTTTAATGATGATACATACTTTTCTTTTCTCTCCAAAAACGCTTTTGTAACGTCAAACATATATGGGTAATATCATTGAGGTATATGTATATATATAATCTATGTATTTAATGGYTATATGTCATAAATAATAGCAATTAGCAGGTACTAAAAAATATATCGTGACATTGTTTAGAATTTGAAACTGAGTATTTTCATAAACGTAAAAGTTGGTGACAGTTCCAAAAATCAAAACAATTGTTTATTTTAATATGAACGTACTTCTACTCTATTGTTAAATAAAAGAGATTGTTTTTATTTTAGAAAATTCAAATAGAAACTTTTAAAGCAGATGGGCTGTRTGTATATGCGCAATGCGCATACGCACAGTAATGACAATATAATATACAATACTTACCAATACTTACTACTTAGTACTTAAATGTATTTAGAAATTAGGATTTAGTGTAAAAAAAATTTACACTGATCTAAGGAAGCAATAATGAATAAAATTTATAATAGCTCCTACTTTTTATCATTATTCTCATAATATAGATGAATATATTTATCGTGAGATGTCAAATGAGATCGGCTCATAACCGTTTTTAAAATCAAACAATTGGTTTAAAATACATAATAATTAATAAGTATATCATACCATACTGGTTTAGTGGTTTACTCTGGAGTTAGCGAAGCGAGACAAGTATCCAAACCAAACTGTGTGTATTATTATTCATTTCCATAGTACTTGGTTTTTAATGTTTTGATTTCTTGCGAAATAAATAAGTATCTAATATGTAATATATTATAGTAAAAAAGAAACCACGTGGACATAAAGTACCTGTTCATTCAATAATATTAGTATCATCTTGATGATATCACGTTTCTCATAAAATATTTAATTTAAAAAATTATATAACT